AGTGCTTATCTGAAAGTATAACACCAGGACTCCATTGTTGTTGTTGTTGTTAAGTGCCATCAAGTCGGTTCTGACCCATAGTGACTCTGTATAGGGTGTCCAAGAAGTGGCTGGTGAGCTTGAACCGCCAATCTTGCAGTTCAAACCAACTTTGTAGTCCAGTCACTGAAATACAGTGAGTAATACATAAGGATATGCTGAATGAAGAAATGAGGGAGTGATAGAGTGTGTTAGCAGAGAAATAAGTAAATAAAAGCATTCTTGAGACAGTGTTCTCTGCTCTTAGAATTTTCAGGATAACTTAAATGAAATTTCCCAGGAGAATTGGTGAGGTTCTTTTGACAACAACTGTTTTTAAAAACAGCTCAAATAGCTTGTTGTTACAGTTGTAAACTCCTTCAGGTTTTTCCCTGGTGCTTTCAGAAGAAGCAAAACAAACGCTGAGACCCCCTCCTCAGCCGTCTTCCCTGACTCCCAATTTCTTCTTCCCATCTTTCTTCTCTCTCTCTCCCTTTTCTTTCTCCTCACTCTGTCTCAGTTTATCTGTTTCTCTTTGTCCTCACTCTCTTTCTCTTGTTTTTCTCTTTTCTCCAACTGTCTCTTTATCTCTGTCTCTCTGTCTGTTCATCGCCTCTCACTATTTCTGCCTCTCTCTATCTCTCTCTCCACACTCTACGCCTCGCTCTCTTACCTCTTCTCACTGTTTTTTCTCTTTCCCCTCAGTCTCTGTCTCTGTGTCTAGCCTCATAGTTTGTTCCTGCCTCTATGTCTGTTTACCTTTCTCCTCATTCCCTGGCTTTTTACCTCTGTCTCTCTCTATCTCTATTTTTCTCTGTCTCTGTTCCTCTCCACCCTCTCTGTCTCTGTGTCTCTTGTTTATCTTTCGCTTCCATTTCTGTCTCGTTATCTCTGTCTTTCTGTCTCCGTTCACCTGTCTCCTCAATCTCTGTTTCTGTTCATCTCCTCTTGTCTCTCTGTCTCTCCTCACTCTGTCTCCATTCATCTCCTGTCTGTCTGTCTCTGTTCCTATCTCTCCTCATATTCAGTCCCTGCCTCTCTGTCTCTATCTCTCTGTCTCTCTCTCCTCACTCTGCCTCCATACATCTCCTCACGCTCTGTCTCTCTGTCTTGCACTTTTCAACATTCCCCTCCTGCCTCATCTTTCCCAGCCCACCCCCACCATCACTGAAAACCCTCCCTGATACCAATACCACGTATGCCCCGGGTGAGAGCTCTCTTGTCCTCCCAGCTGAAGTCCATCTCATTTGTCCTTTGAGAGCAGCATCCCCATACAAGAGTAAAGAGTGTGTGGACTTTGAGGTTGGACAGATTTGGCTAATGCCAGACCTACTCTTGCATGTTCTGGTTGTGGGATCTTGAGCAAGCTCCCTAACTAATCTCTCTGAGCCTTCATATCAGCATCCTTATCAGCAAAATTGGTAAAAATACCCCTCAGAAGTCAGCTACAAGGAGTAAATGAGGCAGTGTTGAGAAAATGCTTAGGACAGTGGTAAAGTTCTCTGTGCATGCGCTCTCGGTCAGTTCTGTGAGGATGATTGCTTTGGGCCCTCTGAAAGTATCCGTGCTCTGGAGGTCTTGACTGAAGATGGAGATCAGCTCTGAGTTGCTCCATATTGGTCCGCATCCAGAGCCCAGTTCTCTCCAGCTCTGAGCCTCTAGTTTCTTGTGTTCACTTTAATTTAGGCCGACTCTCTCTGGGTGGAGTTGTTCCCAAACTCAGCCTCTCTCACAGGTCACTAAATGGGGCTGTTATAGTGGTGAACATGTGGGGCCAGAGCAGGAGATTCTCATTCCAAAGTTCTGCAATGACATCAGGAATTGTTGATGTTAAGTGCTGTGGAGTCGGTTCCGACTCATAGCGACCCTGCACAGGGTTTCCAAGGCTGTACATCTTTACGGGAGCAGAAAGCCTCATCTTTCTCCCACGGAATGGCTGATCATTTCAAACTGCCGACCTTGAGGTTAGCAGCCCAATTCATAACCACTACATTACCAGAGCTCCTTGACATCAGGAATGGGTATAATTTTTTCAATATTCAACAATATCCAGGACATGTCTGATGGGAGAGCATGGATTCAAACTTCTGGCATAAACTGAGTGGGTGCTCACTCCATACTAAAGTAATGACTGAGTGAGTCAGCACTTAAACCCTAATCATCACTTCAAGACCATTCCAACTCATGGTCACTCCATACAGAACTGCCCCACAGGGTTTTCTGGGCTATCATCTAGATAGAAGCAGATTACTAGACCCTTTTGTCATAGCATTTTGGGGTAGATTCAAACCAGCAACTTATAGTAGCCAAAACCAAGCTGTTTGCACCCCCACCCAAGGACCTTGAATGAGTCAATAGAAGATGATAAGTGAACAAATGAAATGAATAAATGAACGAATGAATGAATGATGAAATTGATAGGTCTCGATGGAGCTCACTGATAGCATAGTGGTTAACAGTTGGGCTGCTAACCTCAATGTTAGCTGTTGGAGAAAGACAAGGCTTTCTGCTCCAGTAAAGATCTGCAGCCTTGGAAGCCCTATGTAGGGTCTCCATGAGTCGGAACCGACTCCACCGCACACCACCAACCCCACCATCACTCAACAATTAGAATTGTTAGTATTTGTCCCCAGACCTATACTCTAGATTCAAACCACAGGCATTTACTCTGTTTTTTCTGAATGTAAAATTTAGCTGCTCCCTAGTCGTTTAGTCCTTTGTCCTCCCCAATCTACCTCCACATCATTCCCTTTCCTGGTGTCTGTTTTCTCCATCTTCTCCCCACCCCTCCCACTTCCCTCTTAGTTTTCCCCTTCACGCCCTCCTTTTAGCTCTCACCTCTCCCCACAAGGATTCTCACCCCACCTCCACCCCATTGTAACATTTGCAAACTGGGGCTGCTTTCCTTTCCCAAGACACTTTGGTGAGAGGAAGCTTTGGAAGCAATAGTTTCACAAAACATATTTATTTGATGAACCACAATGACTAACAAGGTCAGAAAATAGCACAGACATTCTGAAGAAAGGGCTGGATATAGGGAGATAGAGGCACATCCCCAGGTCCCCTGAATTCCAGGCAGGAAGTCTCTGTAAGTTACCTAAAAAAGCTCCAGAGACACTTCCTGTTGTCCTAACTGGATGTTTTGAGTAGGCCCCAGGAAAAGTAAGTGAAGATATGGATGCTTCTGGTGTGTGATGGCATAGACTAGGCAGAGAGGAGACACTTTCCCTCTCCTGGCTCCATCCCAGAGACAGTCAAGATGTCCATTTACAGCAAGCTGAACTCTTCCTGCCTTCACACTTTTGTCCTTTGTTCCTTTGTGTCCAGAGTCTTCCACAAACAAAACCAGGAACATACACCCACCCCATCTCACAATGGCCCCACCATCAGTTTCTTCACAAGGTTTCTCTGGAAGGTCATCCTTTCTACCACTGCTGCCCAGTGCTGTTCCAGCCCCAAACCCAGCTGGAGAAGTCAAGAGGTCCCATCCTGATGGTGAGCCTAAACCCACTCCAGTGTCTGGTAGTATCATGGCCTTCTTAGGAATTAGCCACTGAGGCTGAGGAAGAGAGTGAGGAACAAAACACTCATAAACTCAAAGCATGGTGAGGAGACTCCCAATTCCCACATAGCGTTAGAGAATGAACAGAGACCCAACTCACAGAACTCCCCAAGCCTTGGACACCAGACTCTGCTGAAAAAGATCCCTCAGCGAGGACCCTGGCACAAACAGACTTCTCTTTTAAAGCACGGACCAGCCGTTGAAGTCCCCAAATCCAGTGGGGAGTGAACTCAGTTTTATCCTATATTGCCTCAATGTGTCCCTTCTTCCCTCAAGGATTTTTGTGTGAAGAGGAGAGATGATGTGGAAAGTGAGAAGTAGAAGGGAGTTATCCAAATGACCCAGGTACACTGCTCTCCAGGTTGTCCATGCTTAGGTAGATAGATAGAGACAAGCATCCTTACCCCAACCAAAGTGACTGTTGGTACCAAGAAGCACCAATGCCTAAATAAACCAACCTAGGGAGATGGGTTGAGGTGGGGAGTCAGGGGAAAGACACACAGCCCGAAGTCTGAAAGAAGATCAGAAGGACCAGGATTTGTGGGAGGGGAACCAAGCAGCATATAGATTGACAACCCCACACTTTCCTTTAGCCCCACTTTCTGTGCATTCTCTCCTCCCTTCCTAACTCTACATTCATATAATGAAACCAAAGAGCCCATAGCTTCATCAGCCCCACTGCCTTCCAATCCTTACAGAAAATTGAGGATAAAGGGTCTGTGGAAATTTACAGAAAGCACATCTCACTCACTGGCTTCTTAATGGGCTACAGAAAAAAAAAAAAAAGTGCCTTTCTGGGAAGGAAGTAGCCTGAAACGACACTGAACTGATCCAATTTTAGGGAAATTTCTGGAGCTCCCAATTGGCACAAAGTTCCCACATCCATTACAGTCCCTGCCATTCTTTTCTCACTCTCTCTCTCTCTCTCTCTCTCTCTCTCTCTCTCTCTCTCTCTCTCTCCAGGATAAAGAGCTTGCAAACTCCTAGATTCTTAACCCTTAGGAGGCTTCAGAGGTAAGAGGTAAAAAGGGGACAAAAAGGGACTGAGGGATGGGAACAAGCTCTGAGAGAGAGGGGGTCCAAGCCAAAATGTAAGGGCTAAGAATAAAGATTGCAGAGAGGGGAAAACAGAGCACACCGAAGAGGTCAGGGAAAACCAAAAGGAGTCGAGAGAGAAAGGACTCACACATCCACATTTTAGGATCAGTAACACCATCCCCACTTTTACAACTGGAAAATCAGAGGTTGTGGGAGATGAAAAGGCTGGGCAAGGTCAGTCTCGCAGATACAATCTCCTTTCACTATAACCCAGACATCTGGGAAAGGAGTAACTGAGTCAGAGGGGCCAGCTAGAGATGCAGGGCAGAGAACAGAAAAAAGAGAGAAGATTCAGAAGGAAGAAGCGTCACTCTACCTGATTTTCAGAGAGCAAAGGCGGATGTCAGGGGACAGAGCAGAGGGCAGTTCTGGATCCCAAACCTAGTCAACCACCAGCGTCTCTTGGCTATAGGGAATCGATTTCTCCTGCAGCTGCTCCCCACCCTTCCCCGTGTTGGGGCTGGGTCCCTGGCTGTGCCCGGAGGAGTAACTGGCCGACTTCTCCCCACTGCTGCTATGGGAGGCGCCCCCACACCTGCTGTGGCCCCAGCAGAGCATGGAGGTGCAGGCATTGCGGAAGCGGGGATCGAAGAAGGCGTAGAGAAAAGGGTTGAGGCAGCTGTTGACGTAGCTGATGCAGGTGCAGTAGGGGAAAACGTTCATGAGGAAGAGGTCGAAGTCGCAAGGCCAGTGCAGCAGGCTACCCAGCATGTAGAGCGTCTTCACCAGGTGATAGGGCATCCAGCACAAGGCAAAGGTGACCACCAGCACCACGATGATGCTGAGCAGCCGGCGTCGCTTCCTCAGGCCCTCGATGCGCTCCTTGCGGAAGTGGCTGGCAATGGTTTTAGCGATGAAAAAGTAGCAGGTCAGCATGATGGTGAAGGGCACCACAAAGCCCACGGCAGTGGACGAGACCCCCAGACCCACCTCCCAGGCCCACTCTGAGCTCGAGGTGGCCACCAGGGAGTAGTCCATGTAGCACTGTACTTTGGTGTTGTTATCAAGGTTGTCGGTAGAGCGGAAGACCATGACCGGCATGGCCAGGAGAGCAGCCAGCACCCACAAGACAGCCGTGGCCACAACCCCGCTGACCCGCAGCCTCAGTCGCGCATTGGCCACGGGCCTTACGATGGCCAGGTAGCGGTCGAAGCTGAGGCCGGTGAGGCAGAAGACACTGGCGTACATGTTGACAAAAATAAGATAGCTGCTGAGCTTGCAGGCGAAAGTGCCAAAGGGCCAGTCGTACTCCCGGTAGGTGTAGGTGGCCCACAGCGGCAAGGTCACCACGAAGGTCAGGTCCGCCACTGCCAGGCTGGCAATAAAGATGTCAGCTGAGCGCCTCTTCTCCCTGCTGCTCCGAAATACAGTCCAGAGGACCAAGCCATTACCAGTGGTGCCCAAGAGGAAGACCAGCATGTAAATGGCAGGGATGAGGGCTCCAGAGGACTTCCAATCTGAGTACTCACACTCGGACTGGTTGTCAGCTCCATAATAGCTGTCAAAGTCACCAGCACTGTCTTCCATGCTGGAAAGTGGAGAGAAGGCTGCCAGGGGTCCCACAGGCTACCAGCTTGGAGACTGTGTCACCCAAGCTCCTACCTGGACCCTCAGAGAGGTGGCAAGAGCTGAAGGTGCCTTTGAGTGGACACAGCCCTTCCCTGAGCTGGGAGAAGCTCCCTCTCAGATCGTGGGGGTCAGAGGATGCCTCTCATAAGAGGCTTTCCTCTGCCTTTTCCTACCTCCAGTCCAGCCAAGACACTTCCTTGCACCTCCTGAATGTCTGTCTCCTCTTGGCTCGCCACTCCCCTCTCCCACCTCCAGACCAATCCCTCACTTGGGAATCTTAAGATCGCTAAGTTACAGCCCACTTGGTTGTTGTTGTTTTTTCCTTCTTGTCACTGGGCAAAGTGGACCAAATTGAACCCTGCTGTATGGGGCAGATTATCTGGGGGTTGCAGACTGTTGCTCTCCTCCAGGCCCCACCTCCTCCTTTTGACTGCCACCCACCCTCACCCCAGCCTCTGTCCCAGCCCCCCTCCCAGGAATTTCCTCTGGTCACCATCTCCTGCCTACTCTTGGAGCACCCCCTCCTCAGTTCTTTCCACCCTCCTATTCTCACTCACTCCCACCCCCTCTATCGGGCAAATTATGCAGATTGAAATCCAGTCTGAGCTGAAGGGGGTGGGGAGGGGGCAGTGAGGGTCTGAGATTTCACTGCCTGGTTCCAGAACCTGACAAGCCCTCCAGTTCCTTCCTATCATTCCAGCGCCTGCTTCCCTCACACCATCCCTTTGTCCCTCGGCCCTGAACCTCTCTCCAGAGACTTTGAGGTTTGCAAATGCAAATTCATAAACTGTTGGCAGATTGCATAGAAGGTTTTAAAGGCTCCAGAACAGACTCACAGGGTAAAAAAGAAGTCTCAGATAAAATGACTCTTCATTGAGTCATTAAATCTATGGGGAAACTGTAGGATAAGCACTGGACTGCTAACTGCAAGGTCAATGGTTCAAACCCACCAGCTGCTCCTCCAAAACCCCATACAAGGTTGCTATGAGTTGGAACCGACTTGAAGGCACTCAACAACAACAAAAGACACAGGGTGAATTTTGTTACAGTTGGTTTTCTTTTCTTCTTCTCCAAGCACATAACGTAGTGCCTAGCAGATGACAGGTGATCCACAGAGGGTTGTTGACTGAAAGAGTTAAGTGGATGGATGAAATAAACACAGAGTGAAATCTGTCTGCAGAGGAATGAGTGTGCATGAATTACTGTGTGGTAAAAGCAGGGACACATTTCCATCCTTGGGTTCTTCTGTGCCTCTCCTTGTCTTTCTGCCCTCCATGGACTAAATAAGGAAACCAAACCCACTTTTTATAAATAGAGAACCATGAAGTAATATACAATGGAATTGTACCATAGTGTTTCTGAAGCTATAAATCTTTATGGAAGCAAAATGCCTCGTCATTCTTCTGCAGAGTGACTAGTGGGTTCAAACTGCTGACCTTTTGCCTACCAACATTGGACTCAATGCTTAACACACGGTACCACCAGGTCTTCTTTCTCCCTGGATCAGGAGGTTTATACAAGTCCATGTGGCGGGGGCCATGATGGCTTTGATAAGAAATACATTGCAACAACACAGAGCAAACAGGAGACCCTACGCATGAAGAAAATTCATTGTACTGCAGAGCAGCCATGGATGCCCTGTTGATTTGGCAGAGCCTTAACAGGAATTTTATGCGGGGACCTTGCTGGCTTTGCAGTTTTTTTTTTTATTTTATTATTTTAATAAAAATTAATGTTATAAGTAATTAGTATTATACTTGTTATTTTAATTTTTAAAACATACACATTTTTTATTTTTATAGTTTGATAATTAGATATTTTAAACCAGTTGAAACACTGCCAGTATAGAGGTAAGATTATAATTTGGCACCTGTTTTACTTTAATTACAAACAATAGCCTTTAAAATAACTGAACCATGATGTAGGAGCCATGAAGACTGCTAGGGTTATAGTTAAAAGCTTTGTAAAAGCTTTAAAATTTTTAATTTTTAAAAGTTAGTGATGTATAAAGTTAATTAAAAACATGATTCATATTTAAAATTACAATTAGGAACTTAAATCCATGAGGAGTAGCAAGGTATAAAATGTTTAAACAAATTTTAAGAGCCTTGGGAATATTTGAACCTAGTTACAATTGATAAGTTTCAAAAAATAATAAATAGGAAGGTAAGGGTAACAAAAAGTCCTTGTAAAGGTTAACATAACATTTTTAGAGCAATGAGGTTTGCTTACAAAAATTAAATATTGTTTAACTATGTAAAGGGGAACAAGGAAATTTTTGATATTTTTAATGCTTTATATTAAAATAATTAATATGTATTAATATGTATAATTTAAACCACTACTCTAAAAAAGTAATTAATAAATTAATGGTATAGAATAGTATAAAAGCTGTTTGAAATTTTGAAATAAACAGAGAAGACTCACCATTCATCAAAACCATTAATTCTGTAAGCTTCATTTCTTCACCAATGCCATACCTCTCTCTAAGAACCCCCCAATAAAATTGTCGGGGCTGGCTCCCGACATCCATAAGGGGGCAGGAAGTTGCAGCTAGACGAAGAGGCTAAGAATGAGACAGCCATTGAGCAGCTGCCATAGAAATTCACTTTATTCCATCTGGTCTCCTCCTTAGATCTGTGGACAGGGAAGAGAGAAGGGAAAACAAGGCATGGTCAAAAATGTGCCCTCTTTTTACCACCACCCCAAAGTGGGTAAGGCAACCCCACTTTGGACAGCAATGAGGGGAACCAAAATCAGGGGATGAGTCTATATCCAATGCAAAAGGCTTCCGAGCTAGAATCCATTGTCTAGAGAGAGGCTTGATCAGAAACCTTCTCAGGAGCCCCAAACTCAAATACCTGCAGGAATCAAGCTGAATAAGTATGTAGACAAAGCAGTCCATGTGAGGTGGAGGGGCTGTGGGGGGACTGAAATAAGCCAGATCATTCATATCCCATCCAAAGAAGACCTTCTCAGATCCAATCTCCAGGTGCCACACAGAGATGCAAACCCCAGCATTGCTATCTAGGCTTTATTTTTTCACTTTTCAGGAGATGCTCTATGAGAAATCTCTTGGTTTATAAATTGAGGGGATTAACCTCATTTTTAAAAACAAACAAGTAAAGCATGTCCTCAGGCCCTCAGTTGAAGCCCTTTGAATAGTGGTTACGAATCGGGCTGCGAACCTTAAGGTCAGCGGTTCGAAACTACCAGCTGCTCCGCGGGAGAAAGATGAGGCTTTCTACTCCCGTAAAGATTTACACCCTCGGAAACCCTATACAGGGTCGCTATGGGTCGGAACCGACTCGATGGCACTTAACAACAACAACAGCAAGAATGCATTGGAAAAAAAGAGGGAGGCTAGAGCAGGAAGAAGGAACAGAAAGTGAGTGGAAACATAGAGTTATGGAAATGAGCATCTGAGAAGGCTTCAGGTGCAATGGGAAGCTGGAGACAAAGATAAGAAAGATCCTGAGAGCCTTGGATGACCTACAGGGAACAAGGAAAGAATACTGAATACCTTGTTGATGTTTCTCCTGAGGATTACAGTATCCATCCAGCACTAATCATTCTCCCAGATATCTGAAGCATTTTATACTTGTGTGTTCTCTTTTTTAATCAACACAACAACGCTAGAAGGTAGATACCTTCATTAACCCCACTTCACAGATGAAGAAACTGAGAACATAACGAGGTCGCCAAGGTCACCCACCTTGTAACTGACAGAGTCAGAATTTGAACCAAAGCTATTTGAGTCTACCATGCCCCCAAAGAACTAATTCCAACTCTTTTAAACATTTGGGAATTTGGGGATCTGTTAAGCAGTATAGAAATGTAGGTCTGTGCTAACACACCTGTCATTTTCTTTAAACTAAGCTCTCGTAAGTGGAATGAAAAATAGATTGACTACTTTCAAATCTTTGTTGTTGTTGTTGTTGTTGTTGTTGTTGTTGTTGCTTTGCTGTTGTTAAGTGCTGTCGAGCCGGCTCTGACTCATATCAACCCCGTGCACAACTGGATGGAACCCTGCCTAGTCATGTGTCATCCTCACTTTTGTTGTTACATTTCAGCCCAGCACTGCTGCCACTGTGCCAATCCATCTCATTTTTACTGACCAAGCATGATGTCCTTCTCCACGGACTGGTCCCTCCTGATAAAGGTCTGAAGTATGAGAGACGAAGTCTTACCATCCTGGCTTCTAAGGAGCATTCTGCTAGCCTGTACTTCTCCCAACACAGATTGGTTTGTTCTTCTGGCAGCCCATGGTATTTTTATGTTCTCCCCCAACACCATAACTCAAATACTTCAATTTCTCTATGGACTTTTACAGTCATTGTCCAACTTTCACATGTTTAAGAGGCAAGTGAAAATACCATGACTTGGGTCAGGCACACCTTAGTCCTCAAACTGGTATCTTTCCTCTTGAACACTTTAAAGAGGTCTTGTGCCTCAGATTTGCCTAATGCAATACGTTGTTTCATCTCTTTACTGCTGCTTCCATGAGTGTTGGTTGCGGATCCAAGTGTTGGTTGCGGATCCAAGTTGTCTTTGACAACTGCAATCTTTTCTCCATTTATCATGATGCTATTTGTTGGTCAGTTTTAAGGAGTTTTGCTTTTTATACACTGAGGTGGCAATCCGTACTGAAGGCTGTGGTCTTTGCTCTTCATCAGTTATTTTAAGTCCTCTTCACTTTCAGCAAGTAAGGTTATATCACCAGCATATTGCAGGTTGTTAATGATGCCACCTTGATGCCACATTCTTCATCATATAACCCAGCTTCTCGGATTATTTGCTCAGCATATAGAGTGAATAAGCATTCTGAAAGAATACAATCCTGGCATGTACCTTTCTGGATTTTAAACCTTTCAATTTTCCCTTATTCTGTTCAATCAACTGCCTCTTGGTCTATATACAGGTTCCTTCAAAAAATCATACTGAGTGAAATAAGTTAG